CCTTAATATAAAATCTCAGTATTCTATATTTCCAGAGAATTCCCATGACGTGAATTGAATGTGCTCTGTCTGGCGATCTCTGTCGCTAAGGTTGGCGCAAGAAGTAGCCAGTTTAAGAAGCACTTAGTGATTAACGAGTGGGTCGGGGAGCACGTAGATTACTAAGGATTTAACGTTCTACTTTAGTTACGATAGGTTTTGGGAAACACTCGTAAATTAACGATCGATCTTAAGAGCAAGTTTACGATGTTCTTAGCGCTACGATGCTTTCGGGAAACTCACCCCTGAATAGTCAGCTTTTGCTCATGGTAATCTCCAAGTGTAAGTTACTGACTTTAAGATGGAAACAGAGGAGATCGTATTAAATAGGGATGAGTATGAGGCTAAAAGCAGTCTCACACAGTGCGTGTAGCTTACTTATTTTTGTTTTTTAATCAAACCTGTAGTGTATCTTTTATATTTAGGCCAAATTTACAAAACATTAACAAAAAACATTAAAAAGTAAATAAATCCCTCCGTCACTTTATTTAGCCCTTTGAGAAGGAGTTAACTGGTTTATTTGTAACTGAAGCCGGTGTCAGCTAGAGGCACAGATGAGGCTCTGTCTTTCCTGTGTGCAGTCAGACAGAATCTAGTGAGTTTGTTGTCCTGGTTTGTGCTTCGCTCTGCTCTGAGCTCAACCGCCTAGTTTCCCTGCGGTCAGTGTGAGCCCTGCCTGAGCACAGACACCACAGAGAGCAGCCAAACTGCACAGCTCCTCTCTGTGCTCATAGTTCACACCACTGAGCTACTGCAGGACCCTGGGGGTCTGTACTCTCTCAGCCACAAGCACTTCCTCCTACTTCAGAGGGACCAGATGAACAGCTCAGGCAGAGGCCAGGGGCTCAGTCTGCAGTTAGTGAGTCTGCAGGTGACTATTCATTAGAACCATTAAACACTTTAAGCTGTGGTTTGATTTGAGGACGGCACTGACAATCCTCAAATTCTGTGGACACAATATTACACAAGACATGTCCTGTTTGAAATCCTTTACACTTGTTGGAAGAACTGTAGTTTTTCAGTATAGCTCACTGACAACAGCTGTGTCTGGAGAGAAGCCAGGGTATCAGCTTGTTCCACACCCCCACCCCTCTCTGTGTACAGTAGAGCCTCCTGTCCTGACTGGAGAAGCTCACCCAGCTGTATCTTGAGAGGAGCCAGGTTTTCGGCTTCAACAACAGGGCGGGTCAGCTTGTTTTCCAGTGTTGCATGTGTAGGCACTGACAGAATCGGTAAACCCAAACAACGGTTGGCGATAATGAAAATACTGTGCTTTAATCAAAGTTGACGACCAACCCAGCTTGTCCCCTCACTGTGAGACTGGACTGTCCTGCCTCTTCGTCCTGCTGGTGACTCTCCCTCTCTGCCCTGCTGTCCTCCGGCTGCGTCTCCTGTCTCTTCCACAGATCAGGTCAGTGGCTGTGGTCCCCAGGACACGGTAATCAGGGAATAGGTCAGTGCAATGTGTAAGAGTGTATGAAGATGATAATCTTGTAGGTGTATAAGCCTCCTATTTAAAATGAGATGGCACTCTGCATTCCAGAAATATATTTCACAATACAGTTACATAAGGGGAGAATGCATCAGGTGGCACAGTTTTTGTGTTTATTTATATTGGGGTTTTATGCACATTGCATAGATGGACAAATATTCTATACACAGTACAGTATGTTTCAAACTGAGAGGTGATCAGTGCTGCTGCTTTCGTTAAGTTCGAGTTTGTGGGTCCATTTGAGGGTGCAGAGCAGAGAGAGCACAGCTTAGACCACTGAGTACAGGTCTAAGCTCAGAGCTCTTCCAGAGAGCTAGTTATCTTTGAGCAGTGACGAAGCCTGCATTCTCATACCGGCCTTCTTCCTGGAAACAGGCAAAGAAATACAAATCAGAACGTAAGTTACAAACGGGAGGTCTTCATTCAGCCCAGGTAGCGCTGGTGGTTCGCAGGTCATTGATCTGAGAATCTCACCCAGCTGTGTCCTGAGAGAAGCTTCAACAACATGGCTGGGCAGCTTGTTCCACACTCCCACCACCCTCTGTGTAAAGAAGCACCTCCTGTCCTGATTGGAGGGTCTCATCCAGCTGTGTCTTGAGAGAAGCTTCAACAACACAGCTGGGCAGCTTGTTCCCCACCGCCGACCAACCTTTGTGTAAAGAAGCAGCTCCCGTCCTCAGTTATACATGTACGTACATGCTTTTTGTCAGTAACCACTGGCTGACATCTTGAGTCTTGGAGGAGACTGCGATGTTTACACTTGTTTACATTTGTCCACACTTTTTTTTTACCCACTTATCAATCAAGTTTGGGAAGAAATGTGACAGGAAACATTTTCTCTTCCTGCTAGCCACCAACCTAACTGCAGAAGTCCTTCAAAGAGGTATTTTTTTTTAAAAAGGGTTGTTTCCAATACTTAGCAACATTCAAACTTCCATTTTCTAACAGCTGTATCCAGTACAGGGGCACAGGGGGGAGCTGGAGTCTATCCCAGCATGCAAGAGGCACAAGACAGGAGTCTTGACAGCATTACTTCTCAAAACCTGCAGTGGGAGATGCTTCACAGTGTAGCGGCGAGGCTTATTAATAAGGCAGAATTAAGTGTTTCTGAGCTTTCCCAAATTAGGCCTCATCTCTCTGTTCATCTCTGTGGTGCAGCCACAGAGAAACTATTCATGCAGACTGATTTAAGGTTTCCTTTGATAAGGTTTCCTAGGACAGCTCCC